CCATCTGCCTGGCTGGCTGGTGCGCAGCATAACTCTCGAAGGGAGTATCCAAACTCGGTACATCGTACTATTATTATCAAACTTAGATCGAGTTTGGAGATGGGCAATATCTGTCCACTCCTTTTATTACCTCCCCTTAAAAGGTCGAAATGTTGAAAGAAAATATTTTATTGCACAGAGAGAGAAAGGACAATCCGATCTTGATCCAACTTTGCAAATCCTAATATCTGCACCAGTTCTAAATTAGGTGCGAAAATGGACAATATTGGTCCACTGCATAAAGTACCTCCCCCACAAAGTGTCATCATTTTGAATAGTTATAACTCTTATAAAATGTGATGTAAGTTTCCGATTGTCTTCAAATTACACACATCACAATATTTTAATTAACCCAATGTCAGGTGTGAAGATGAAATATGTGGGTCCACTCCTTCTGGTACCTCGCAAACAAATTTTGAATACCTATGAAGTTCATAAATCACGAAATAAACATCCGATTCCATTCACACTTGGCACATCTCAATATTTCTATCAACCCAAGATCTGTTATAAATATGGTAGAGATCAAGCCATTCCTTCTGGTACTTCCCCCACAAAGGGTCAAAGTTTTAAATAACCAAAACGAATATTAAATCCGAAATATGCATCTGGTTCTCTTCATATTTCACACATCCCATTATTTCTACTGACACAAATCTGCTGTGAAGATGGGATATATCGGTTTACTCCTTCTGGTACCTACCCCCACAAAGGGTAAAAATTTTGAATATTCATGAAGCTCATAAAACGCAAAATTAACGTCCGATTCCATTCAGACTTGGTATATCTCAGTACCTTCTTCAACACACGATCTGTTATAAAGATGGTAGAGATCGGACCATTTCTTCTGGTACCTCCCCCCACATAGGGTTGAAGATTTTGAAAAACAAAACGCTCAAAGAAAGCGAAATTGGCACAACTCAACTTTCATTACTTGTTAGAGAATATTTAAAAAATTCCCCATGAGTGAAATAAAGGAAAAACATTGCTATTTTTTCCATCACAACTGCAAGCTAATTGTAATTACATCAAAAAACAGCACATGACATTCAATTTGACTTGCTAGGAGACAATTTATGTGTGGTTTTTTTATGGACAACGTTTATACTAATTAAGGAGGCGATTGGAAAACGAAACAAGCAACAGCAATGAGAACAATTCAACTATAAAAAATAAGTGAAAATGGAAAACAATTGCATCGGTTTAAAATTTTCAACATTTTTTTGCTATGATTTTTTTTTAAATCCCATTCGGTATAAAATTTTGGATAATTTTCGCTATAAAATTTTTATAGTAAAGTCAATGATACCCTATCCTAGCCCAAAAAAGAAAGCACATAAGGCATTTAAAAAAAATCATAAAAAAGAAAAAACCTGATTAAGGATATATATGGGAGCTATATCCAATCTTAGCCGATCTCGATAAAATTTCTCTATAAGATATCTAGTACCAAATATCATTGTTGTTGAATATATTGCGAATGTGAGGGACTTAGGACTGCCAAAATTGAGGTCATTTTTACTGATATTTGCCATTTGGTGCACAATTAACCCGAATTCGGTTGAAGATATATATCCAAATCTGAACCGATATATATAAGATATATATCCAAATCTGAACCTATATCCAAATCTGAACCGATCTTTATATAATTTGGCAGAGGTATTTCTGGGCTGCATGTGATATCTGGTACCAAATATCATTCTTGTGGAGTGCATATTACGAATGTGAAGGGCTTAAACACAAAATCGGATGAAATGTATATAGGGTAGCTATATCTATATCTGAACCAATTTTCACCAAATTTGATGTACTTGCTTCTAGACTGAATTCAGTTGGATGTGCCGAAATTCAGTTCATTTGGACTTATATTGCCCATATGGTGCACAATTAAAACGAAATCGGTTGAAAATATTTATGGGAGCTTTATTTAAATCTGATTCGATTATCTCCAATTTCAATAGGGTTCGTCCTTGGGCTAAACAAATATTGTTTGGAAAATTTCATCTCAATTGGATAATAAATGCGACCTGCATTTCTTCTTGTCATCTATGTATACAGTTTTGATCGCCAGTGTATTTCAGTTTTCTTTTTGTTAATTGAAAACGAAAATGAAAAACTGGCGTGTGCTGGTTTTGCTAGATTTATAAAAAAATATATTGCTCTACTTGCGTTTAACCCAAAGATTGTCGCACTAATATTGAATTTCACGACAAAAAAAATGCAAAAAAAATGCCACATAACATTATCGATAGGTGGCATATAGCTAAATGTCGACTAGCTTTTTTTGCAACGATTTCAACATTTATTTTTTTTTTTCTTCAAATGTGGCCACACACATTTATGCATTTTGAGGTCAGTCATTGAGGTTGCAATGATAGAAAAAAATCTCTTAGAAGACTAGAACACAAAAAACATATATGGGTATAGCAACATAACTTTCTGTTGAATCGTGGAATTTTTTTCCACTGAAACAAATTTGAAATATGCAACCCTATCTGCGCCATAAATGATTACCGGATGTGACCAGATGTCGTACGTGAACTGGGATGCTGTCAATGAGGCAACACCATGTGTTACTTACGACAATGCGGCATAAAAAATTATTATGAGTTCTTGGTTTCACCGTAACGTAAAACTTTTCGATACCTATGCCCCTCGAAAAGTGTTATGATCAGTTGTCAAGCTCATACCAGGCATGGCATGGAAGTTGTGAATCGTTAGACCTCATTTTGTCCGTCAATTCATTGCATTATAATGCTCATGCGAAAGGACTACAGATTGAGCTCCGTTGATCTAAATTCTGAAAGTAAATGCCAAGGACAGAAGCAACATATTTAACTTAGAACTTTGATCCTTTGTGAGGGAGGTACTTGATGGAGTGGACCGATATTGGCACCTGACAAAATTGGAGCAAAATCGGATTATCCTTTCTTCTTTTGTGCAATTCAATTTTTTTTTTTTTAAATTTCGAACTTTATTGGTGGAGGTATCAGAAGGGTGGGCCGATGTTGGACATCTTCGAACTCGATCTAAGTTTGACAATAATATTGCGATGTACCAAGTTTGGATCAAATCGGATACTCCTTTCGAGAGGTACAGTGCTCACCAGCCAGACAGACAGACGGATGGACGGACATCGCTAAATCGACTCCAAATGTCCTGAAACGGATTTGATCCAAAGAGACCTAGGGTCTAACACCGTCATTTCGACTGGGCACGTTTTGGCCATATCAAAGGATATACCCTCCCTCTCTAGCCATATGGCTGAGGGTATAAAAAAGTTTGTGGAGCCGTAAAATTGGTGCCATACCAAAGCGGATCAATATAGTCAATGTTGTACAACAAATACCAAATTTTACAAACAAAAACGAACCTGAACTAAGGTGGTAGGCTCTTGCCGCAACTAGGCTTTTGTTGTTTCGGGAAGTTTCGGTATCATACACACTGTATGACTTTAATTGTCCTATAAAACTTAGCCCAGAAGATTTCTGGTTACTGGCCGTGAAAGTAGCTGTATTTTTCAACCTGGAGTTAGAAACGGATTAGAGAAAACAAACAAAACATGTGAAGCTGTTACAACAATAAAAGACTAATTTTGCGGGAATCCGTTAGAAAATAAGTCTTACATAATCGGAATACCGAATATCAGAATATCAGAAGGTACCGTTACATGGGGGCTATAGGGAAAGGTGGATCTTGACAGACAATATTCTGCCACCAGAGGAAGAACCAGTTACAAACTCTTTCCATCAATTCCGAGAAGAATGAATCTAAAATTAACAAAATAACGAATATCGGAGGTATCATCTTATGTGAGCTATAGAGAAATTTAGACCTATACAGAAAATGTTCTCCGTTTCAAACTCCATGTACCAATTTTTAAACAATTCTGTTAGAAAAAATGATCTATATCGTTAAAATAACGAATATACGAAGGGTACTGCAGGAAAACATGAATCTGCATTTACAATACTCTGCCAATGGAACGAGAACCCATTACGAAATACAAATACATGCTGATCATGACTATATATACCTTATGAGGTCTACGAGGAATATATAGAGTTGTAACAAATGGAAGGACAAATTTAAAATATACTCTTTTCCATGATGGGGACTATGAAAATAGTTCTCCACATTAGTATTAAAGATATTGGGACCAACTCTAGTTTAGTAAAAACTCTTCAACTTTTTCCAGAGGTAGGTATTTTTACCCTGGAAACTATTTTTTTCTTGGGAGACGGAACCGCGACCCGGAAGTCCGTGTTCAAGACCCGCACTTGACCCACTTACCCGATATAGACAATATAGGTACCGTTTGAAAGATTATGAAAATACCTATCCAACAAATGGCTGAAGGCCGGTAATTTTGGTAAATTTTGTTGAGGGCCCTTTTTCGTCTTTTTGGAGGTTTTATAAAAACTCCGGGTCCAAAAAATCAATAATTTGACTACAACTTCCGATAAAAATAAATTAAAAAATCCGGGTAAAAAATCGATAATTTGACTATAACTTCCGAACCGCTGGTGGCTGCTTGTGGGATAGGTATTTTCATAAGCTTTCCAACGATACATATATTCTATATATCGGGTAAGTGGATCCGGGTGTAGTGCTGGACTTGAACCAGGACATTCGGGTCAAAAATTTTAGGTCCCGGATCCGTCCCCCAAGAAAAAAAATAATTTCCAGGAATCAGGGTAAAAATACCTAACACTGGAAAAAAAATTCGAAAAAATTGAAATTTTTACTAAACTAGAGTTAAGCCGAATATTTTCCCTGTCCTCATTTGTTTCCGTTTGCTTACAAGACCTTTTAATTTAACCCTTCTTTGTCCATATTCCTTGGCATTTAAAGATAATGTATGTATTTATGTATCTGTGTGTGTTATTTATGGGCTATAATGAATTATTAATAACATTATTAATAATTAATGATATCGAGAAATGAAAGCAACATACCTGTGTTCAATTATTTGCGCTGTTTTATTGTCGAACCGGTATAAAACTTTATACATGGAGAAATTTTTATTTCGAGATTGCCGTTAATCATTAAACGGCAAACAGAGTTCCAAACTGAGATTTATTTTGAGAATTACGAGGGGGTATGTATGACGCGGGCGACAGCTTGCTGTTTGCTAAAAAAAAAAGTAAGGTAGTGTTAAACTTTACGGAACGTGTTCTGTTGTACGTAACGACTGACGACAACACCGTCACAAAATAAATAATGTCTCCTCTTAATGGCGGTGATGGTGTTGGTATATTACAGGCGACAAGATGAGGACCGAGAGTTGACACCAAATTAATGCCAGAACAATATGCAGCCAAGCAAACATCCAGAGCCAGGCAGCCTAACAACAAATTCAAGAAGTCTTTCTCTTTAAAAAATAAATACAAGTTAACAAGCCAAGCCAGCCAGTCAACCAAGTTAAGAACCAGTTCAACTGGTCTGTCTCACTGGCACGAAAAAAATGATAATCAGCAGCTAATAAATAAAAAACAAAATACGCAAGCCAAATTAGCTGTTATGTGGGGGGAGGGTTTCCAAAAATTTCAGAGTGTTAAAGGATGGTAATTAATTATGAAATACCAAGGCACTTGTTCCAGAGCCAATAAATCCCCACAAATCGGAATTGATAATTTCTTTGTTTCCAAAACTTTGTTACCGTTTTTGTTTTCGTTATTTCTTTTTTTCTTCACTTAAACCATCATTAAATATATTGGTTTTTGGCTACTGTCTTTCTTGATGGTCGGTTTGGTCGGTCTCCTCCTTCGATTACTGGGTTTCTCTTTTTTAACCGGGAATTGTCTCTGTTTTGTTGCTATTTCTGAAATGTGTGTCTTTAGTATTGGCCAAAGAATAAGATGATGCTGATGGGATGAAGGAGGAGGAGGATGAAGCGAAATAGGAGGAAGCACACACCAACAACCAACAATTCCTCTAAACGTAGCTATATATGTGGTCAGCTACTTGTCTTGAGCATTTGTTGCCACAAAAAAAAACATTGGACCACTACAGCATCTTCTTGGCCATTCGTTGGCTTTACAACAAAAAGCTTAAGTCTTGTCTGAGACATGCACGTACACACACAAACACGAAAGCTTGGCTCAAAGAAAAAGAAACCATCAAAGAATGGTAAATGATGTTTTTTTTGGGGGGGAGGGGAGTTCAAGTAATGCGGATGGATGTTACCAACTTGTTTTTGGTACTTCTTGTTGGATGGTATGGCTGGCTGGCTTTATGTTTGGTTGCTTGATTGTGTGTGTCTGGCGGTAAGCACACGTTTTTTTGTTATTGTTGTTGTTGCCCTCTGTACATTCCAATCTCACGAATCTTACTTCTTCCGATTGGTTGGTCTTTTCTTGTTGTTTTTGTTGTTGTACTAATAATAAATGGATGATGGCCCAAAACTTGGAAAGAAGGCACTAGCCACACCACACACACAACACCGATTTTCTCATATGGAAATCACCACTTCGACGTTCGTTTTTTTTGTTTATTTGCTTTTGTTGTTGCTGTTGTTGTTGCTTACACGTAAACTTTACTTGACTCTAATAATTTTCAAGCCAACGACCGGTTTATTTTACTCTTTTCCACTCTCTTTTGTACGTCTTCTTGTTAATATTTGACAGAGAAAAAAAGTTAAATTTGTTTCGTCTTCTTTTTTTTTTTATTTGTGTATGTTTTGTTTTGTTGTAAATTTTCGTTTTTATTTTATGTTTTTCTTTTCACTTCCTCCGACAATAGGACCTTCTTCGACGGAATAAATAAATACAATAAATAAAATTGCTCGACAATGTTAGGGATGTGTAAGTCGACTTTCGATTTATCGATTAATCAATCGACTTTTAGTGTTGAAAAGTAGATGTCGTGATTTTACCTATGGTGAAAATCACAAAATATACATTTTGTAATCGATTTTAAATTTTGAGAGCATTGATCGTTGCCTACTTTTAATTTTTATATGGAATAATATACAGGGTGAGATGAAAAAACTGTAAACAACTTTAGACTGCTGTCATTCCAAAGCCACTCGTCCTACAGCTGTTAAAATTATTCCAGTGACAGCTCATTATATTGTTTACAAACGTACAAAAGCATTTTGGTGAGAATTTTCCAGAAAAAAAAATTATTCGTGATGGAATTCAAGCGTGATAGTGTGATTTCTTTATGTTTGACTGGAAAACCATAAGTGGCTATCGTTAGAGCATTCCAGCATTTAAATGTGAAAAAATCTTTTGTGTCTAGCGGTGCTCGACGCCAAGGAAGTGGACAGAAGAAAACAACAACATCAGCAGAAATGGTTCGAATAGTAAAGAAGCGACTTGATCGAAACCCGCCTCTCAGTGGCCGAAAAGTGGCTCGTGAGATGAAGATATCGCAATATTCCATTCGACAAATATTGAAAAACGAGCTCGGGGTAAAGCCATTGAAATTCCAAAAAGTGCAAGAACTTATACCTCAACAGAAAGGAAATAGACTGAAAAGAGCTAAAGAGTTGCTTCGCTTGGCCGAAAGTGGTGAACTGCCGAATTTGGTTTTCTCCTCTCCGATAAAAAAAAAAAAAAAAAAACATTCGTTGTCAAGCAGTTTATAAACAAACAAAAAGGTCTTGTTTACTCTCCAACGAGGTCATCTGAAAATGTGCACCTTCGGTTGGCCACCAGAACTCCAGTGGCGACCATGGTGATGGTGTATACCGCAATAACAGCGATGGTCGCTCTCCGATCGTATTAATCGATCAGAATATATGCTAAATATTATCGCGAAAATATTCTGGAGGGTGCATTAAAGCCTTGGTCACGCAAAACATTTTGGCCGCAGACCTTGGACATTACAACAGGACTCAGCACCATCGCACTCAGCACGCGCCACTAAAGGATGGTTACAAAATGAGGTTCCTCGCTTCATTTCAAGCGCGCAATGGCCACAAAAATCTCCGGACACCAATCCGTTGGACTATTGTGTCTGGAGTATTTTGGAAAGCAAGGTTGGCACTTAACAATAACAAAGTGTCAATCACCTCAAGCAAGTGCTTCGGCGGGAGTGGGCCAAAATACCGCAGAGCAACATTCGGGCAGCGTGTGACGGTTTCATTGGCCGTTTGAAGGGCATAATTCGTGCCAAAAGTGATCCAAACTCATTCTAAAATTTGATGCTATTTCCGACATTTTTTGCTTTCAGTCAATAAAATTTTAAAAAAATGTAAAAATTACGGCGTTTGACTTTGTTGTAGTTTTTTATCTTACCCTGTACATACTCAAATCAGAGATGGGAAACCAGCTTTCCATGCTGTGAAATTTAACGAGCTAAATTATACAATATTCAAAGATGGGAATGCTTATTTGAGCGCTTAGCCTACCTTGTCTTCATTGCCCAATATTCCATCCCGATTCCTTTATTTTTAAAGGGTTTCTTTACCTCATGGTGAAGGGTGTTAGGCTGGAAATACATAAAGCGCATATTTGGCTGGCTTAAGTCATCGGCTGGCTTCTTCGTAGATGAACAGAGGAGTTTTAGGTTGACCTAGTTCGATTTTGGCCCTAGTCTCCTTTGTTCATTTCCGAAGAAGCCAGCCGATGACTTAAGCCAGCCAAATAAGCGCTATATGTATTCCCAGCTTTAAAGGTTCGGCCTTTCCGAACTTAAAGATTTTTTACTTGCTTCCAATTATCGAGACACCTACCAACAGAAAATTCTGGTTCGTGACAACTAGAAATTGTAGCTTTGGTTGCATGATAAAAGAATACAAGTAATCGCATCGACACTACTGCTGGGACAATGAACTGTCAAACCAATTTTGAAACTGAAAAATTGTCAATGAAAATTATTCAAATTCGTTAACATCATAAGAACCTCCGATTGGCGTCGTATAAAAAAAAACATAAAAAATCTACATTTTTGAAAAATATTTAAAAAAAAAAATTGGCATGTCTATGTTTCCAACCGTTAATGCATCTACCTGTATTCTTGTATTTTGGTTGCATGACTTTTTTCTTTTTAATGTTAGCATCATTGTCGCTTTAATAACAGGTCTGTTCCATAAGTCAAAACAATACTTTACTTTTACAATTTTATACCAGCTTTTTTTCTTCTTTTTTTTTTTTTGAAAAACACAGATAAAAAATTGCAAATCTTAGGGCAAAGAAAACTAGCATTCAGTTTTTTTATTTATTTTATAGATGATATGAATGTTTTGTAAAAAAAAATATTTTATTACATTTTTTGCTTATAAAATTGCACTGGAAGACAACAGCTCCAAAATTTACCCCATACAGCCACAAATAAAGTACCCCTTTGCACCCCCGTTCCTATTCATCCAATGCTTTATTACCCCACTCAATGATTGCAATTTGTTATTTGTCAAAACATTATTGGTACACGCAACGAAACGCGTGTTGAAAGGCGATCAATAAATTGAGATACTTTTGTTTTGCTTTTCTCTATTTTTTATTTATCTATGAGTTTTTTTTTTTTGTAAATTATCTGGTGTGCTCTCATTTAACTCTTTCTCATTTAAGTCTCTCATTCAGTGTTGCCAATAAGAATATTTTTAGTTGGATTTTTCTGTAGTGGGGAATTTGTAGGGAAACAGAATGGAAAATGGTAATGGTAATATAAGTAAAACGAATATTTGTGTCAAATATAGTATAGTATACGAATTTATTTAAAATTCTAATTTTCCATACTCCTTGCTCCAATTATGGACCAAAATGATTGGTAGAAGATTGAAACATGGAAAGTACGGTCTTATGTTGACGTTCATGTCTATACAAACGAGCCCGCTTCAATTGCAGCGCATTGGAAGAAAACATTGAAACATTTATTTGGGAGATACCTGCCGAAATATTGTAAATAATGTAAAGTAAAATTGGAGTAAGCGGAAATGTCATTTGATGCACAGTCAGAGTCAACATTTGCATGAAATGATCTTAATTCTTTTTTATAATTTTATTATTATTTTTAATATTTTTTTTTTTTTTTTTTTTTTTTTTTTGAAAAACTCGTATAGCTCCTAAAAATCAGAATAGATTTATGTTTCCTGTAGCCGCTTATAACAGTACCTTCCGTCGATTTAAGACACATTTTTAAACGGAATTCTTTGAAATTCATTTCGTAGAGCTATTAATTGGTTCTACCCATGGTTCAATATGGAGGTAGAACAGCTTCGTAAAACTAGAGAAATACATCCCTGAAGCTATGCCCGCTTTCTGTCAGACTCATTCAAAATTATATACAACAAGTTGTTTTTATTTTTTTTTTTTTTCATATATTTCCTCATTTTTTAAATGAGTTAAATTGTGCAAAAAATGAATGAAATACCTAGATTTTCTCCCAAAAATATGATCCAAACTGTTCAATCTTTCAATTTCATGGCTAAACTGGTTAATAGGTTTAATGCGCGACCCGCAATGTACGTGTCGTCCAATCATTGGTTTTGAAAATATTTTGTTTTCATTTTTCAAAACAATAAATACATACACAAAATTGGCAGAAGTCGGGCACACTTAGAAAAAAATTGTAATCACCTGGTAGCTCTACTTTACCTTTTTATTGTACCATGTTCCTATCTTTTGTGGCAGAAAATTGTTCGATTTGAGTCACATATTCACAATGAAGTGTTTCAAATTCGGTACTTAGAGACCGCAATGGGTTCTATCTTCTTTGTCAGAAGATTGTCTATATGAACCCCATAAGATTTAAGCCACATTTTTAACCATTAGCCTTCAAAGAACAGCTTCGTTAAACTACAGAAATACAGCCCTGAGTCTATGGCTTTTTGTCAGACTCATTCAGCTATGTTCCAAAACTGTAAGAATGCACAAATTTTTGCTTAGATAACCGATTTTTCCTTTACGATAACAAAATTTGCAAAACAAGTAAATTCTTGCAGGTTCTGGAACAGAGAAAAAATTGTAGAAAAGCGACATTACGTATTTTTGTAATACGGCTTTACATCAGACCGTTATTTTGGAAGAAGGTGAGTATTTTTGTGTGCAACGCAATAATTTAAGTGGGAGCCTTATAGTACGTTTATATATATGAGGGTTAACCCACTGGATTTGGATTTAAATTGTCATATCCATTACTTTTACTTCAAATAAATCCTCTCAAAGAAGGTTAACCCTACAAAAAGTTCTAACGTAAACATGGCATTAATTTCTTATTGGAATCCACATATGATCTTTCATTCCCCATTTTTTCATTACCGTAAACTGAAAATCTGGCAACACCAAATGAGTAGCAGCAAACTATAACTGACAACTACAATTTTCCGGTCTCCGTGCGTATTTGTGTTGTTGTTTTATTTCCTATGTCAGCAAAAGGCTGATTCTAAATTTAAAACAAAAATTTCTGTATTTTATCTCTAAGCATTCTGTCTGTCGCTGTTGCTGTTGGTGACGTCGCAACGCTCGCTGTGGGCCATTTGTTGTGTTGTGTGCCTCAATTTTCAATTTCTTTTTCAGTCTTCGAAGTCGTCGTCTCTGTGTTGTGGATTTTGCTCTCGTGGTCGGACGTGTTTGCGGTTTATTTCGTTCTCGTTCGTTGCCAAAAAAATAAAATATTTCATAGCCATAGACAATTTTCAGTTTTCAAATCCAACATTGTTAGTAGAGCTGCTGCGCTGCGGTTGGCTAATAATATTTTGAAATTTCGATATTTCAAACAACAACAAAAAAGTAAATACCTTTTTGGATAATTGCAAAAGAAATACCAAACAAAAGAACAACAAAGTTAAAGGCTGATTGATAAAAATAATGAAAAGTGTTGAGTTATATGATTTTAATGACATTTAGTTATCGAAGTTCATGCACCTCCCCTCTTTGGCTGTGATATGTTAAAGTGCAAATTTTGTGTTGAAATTAAAAAATAATAATGGATTAGTTAACTAATTGAATTAGAAATGAATTACTTCATGGATCTTTGTTTGTGGAATTTCGATTTTTTCCCAATGGTTCATATACTTTTTTTTTGAAAAATTTTCGTCTGCTGCCATCATTTGCCGTCGCCGTGTGTTTATTTTTGGAGCTCCTTAGCCGCCGCACGGGGATTCTGTGTGTTTTTTTTTTTATTTTTCGTTTTTCAATCTCTGAGTACCCTTTCTCTCTCTTTTAATCTCTTCCCCACATGCCTTCATTGTTTATCTCTCATCAATTTGCATCACATTATTGTGGCTCATTATCTCCGGTTATCTAAATGATGTGAGAAGCAACAAAAAATAACGGGTGCAAAAGAACTCAGAGAGTATGCAAATAACAGAATATTTTGGCGCTTTTATTGTGAATACGCATTGTGTGTGTTTGTGCGCGTTTTGTTTGGACAATTTGTTTAAATAATTTCTTTAATAATACATAAAAATAAGCCAAAATATTACAAACAACAGCAATTGAAACATAATTTTCCGTGGAAAATTATGCAATCGTCGAATAGCTGACAAGATTATCAATGATGTTTATTGTTGATGGGAGTGTTTTTCGCTTTACAGTGTCGCCCAACAAATAATTCAAAAAGCACAGATTTTTAAGCAAATAAATGGCCTGTTCCGGAATCTGCAAGGATTTACTTGTTTTTGCAGTATTTTACGATATCTCAAAGGGAAAATCACATCATTTTTACGTTCTTACAGTTCTGGAACATACCAAAAGTGTTAAATATGAATAACAATTGCTCTGTTCCAGTACATGCAAGAATCTACTAGTTTTGCAATTTTCCCCGATATTGATATATGGATTGAACCAACGATTGAAACCAGTCAAATAGTATCAGTCGGTTTTGCCGACAGATGTATGCTTCCAGCCTTGGGTTATTCAGACTGTTGACCTTTCTGAAGCAGTTGGCCAATATTGACCAATTCGCATCTGACCTAAAACTTATATAAATGTGCAATGTGCCAGATTTGGACTATATCGACTACCTCCTAATTTTATATGGAAAATTTTGGAAAATGTGGCTTACCGATGTATTTTATTTTCATACTTCATCTAATACAGATAAAAATATAGGTATGTGCGAACTTGGAGGAAATCGGGTTCGCCGATATATATCATCTTGCTTTAGCAAAAATATTTGGATGTGTCAAATTTTAAGAGAGTTGGATGCATATTTCGCTTTCTCCGAGCGTTTTATTTTTCAAAATCTTGAACCCTATGTGGGAGAGGTATCAGAAAGAATGGTCCGATCTCTACCATGTTTATAAGAGATCTTGTGTTGATGGAAATATTGAGATGTACCAAGTCAGGATAGAATCGGAAGCTAACTTCGTGTTTTATGAGTTTCATGAATATTCAAAATTTTGACTTTTTGTGGGGGAGGTACCAGAAGGAGTGGACCGATATATCCCATCTTCACACCAAACTTTGGGTTAATAAAAATAATGGGATGTGTGAAATTTGTAGAGAACCATGATGCTTATTTCGGATTTTATAATCATTTTGGTTATTCAAAACTTAGACCCTTTGTGGAGAAGGTACCAGAAGGAATAGTCCGATCTCCACCATCTTTATAACCGATCTTGTGTTGATAGAAATATTGAGATGTGGCAAGTCTGAATGGAATCTGATGTTGATTTCGCGTTTTATGAGCTTCATGGATATTCAAAATTTAGACCCTTTATGGGGGAGGTACCAGAAGAAGTGGACCGATATATTCCATCTTCACACCAGACCTTGGGTTCATAAAAATATTGTGATGGGTATAATTTGAAGACAATCGGAATCAAACTTCACATTTTATAAGAGTTGTAATTATTTAAATATTGACCCTTTGTGGGGAAGGTACTTGATGGGGTGGACGGATATAGACCACTTTCGCACCTGACTTAGCACTGATGAAAATATTAATATTTGCAAAGTTGGAGAAAAAACGGAACATCGCTTCTCGTTCTGTGCAGAAAGTATTTTCTTTGAAAATTTCGACCTTTGTTGTAGTGGACCTATATAGCCCATCTCCGATATCTATCTAAGTTTGACAATCCGCACCAGCCAGGCGGACGGACGGACATCACTAGAACGACTCCAATTGCCCTGAAACGGATTTGGTCCAAAGAGACCTAGGGTCTAACACCTTCATTTCGATGAGGCACGTTTTAGCCGTATCAAATGATATACAGGGTGAGATGAAAAAACTGGCCAACTTCAGACTGCTTCCAACTTCAGCCTGCTGTCATTTCAAAAAAAAAAAAAAATGGCTCGTGAGCTGAACATATCGCAATATTCTATTCGGCATATTGAAAAATGAGGTCGGGGTAAAGCCATTGATATTCCAAAAAGTGCAAGAACTTACACCGCAACAGAAAGAAAATAGACTCAACAGAGCTAAAGAGTTGCTTCGCTTGGCCGAAAGTGGTGAACTGCCGAATTTGGTTTTCTCCGATGACAAACAAACATTCGTTGACAAACAAAACATACGTTGTCCAGCAGTTTGTAAACAAACAAAATGTCGTGTTTACTTGCCAAAGAGGTCAGCTGAAAATGTGAACCTTCGGTTGGCCACCAGAACTCAAGCGCAAGCCATGGTGAGGGTGTGGGCCACCATAACAGCCGATGGTCGCTCTCCGCTCGTAAAATGCCGAATATTATCGCGAAAATATTTTGGAGGGTGTATTAAAGCCTTGGGCTCGCCAAATTTTGACCGCAGGCCTTGGACGTTCCAACAGGACTCAGCACAATCGCACTCAACACGCGCCACCCAAGAATGGTTACAAAATGAGGTTCCTCGCTTCATTTCCAGCGCACAATGCCCACCAAAATCTCCGGATACCAATCCGATGGACTATTGTGCCTGGAGTATTTTGGAAAGCAAGGTTGGCACTAACAAATACCAAAGTGTCGATCACCTCAAGCAAGCGCTTCGCCAGGAATGGGCCAAAATACCACAGAACAACATTCGGGCAGCGTGTGACGGTTTCATTGGCCGTATGAAGGTCATAATTCGTGCCAAAGAAATAAAATTTGATGCTATTTCCGACATTTTTTGCTTCATTCAAAAAATTTTGATTTTGTTTGATTTTGTTGATTTTGTTGCGGTTTTTTCATATCACCCTGTATACCCTATTTAGCCATATGGCTGAGGATATAAAATATTGCATCATCTCTGGTAATGAATCAGCAGATGAATTGGCAAGACGGGCATCCGAACCGATAGATTTGGAGTTCGACAACTTGGTCAAGCCACCTTTGTGCCCTTTCTTCCGAGTGGTACAAAAAATTACTCCGGGAGATTTCAACAAAGCTGGTAAAATGAAAGAGGATGTAATGTCTTTAAAAAAAATTTGGACGAACTCTCTCTCCCCTCTCTGAAAAATGCAGAGCTGTACCATTGTTGGTAAACAGTTACTCAATAGGGTCCAGATGAGCGAACTTCTCTCGACTAATCTAAAAAATATTCTATTCACCAAATTAGTTGTGTTATCGATTATCACACTTGCAGATCTCTATTCTCAGCTGTGTTTGAACAGATGATAAGATCAGTTAATTTGAAACTTTTTTTACATGCAAGGAGCATGATTTGCGCGTCAGTGGCGGTATGCACCGACGCCTACTCTCATCACAACATGCATTTAGGCTAGTTTATTTTACGAAATTTTTCCTATATCTCTCATAAAATTTGTTATATTTCCTTTTAATGTTTCTCTTATTTTAAAACAAACGCCGCAAGTCATTCAAAATATTTCCCAATTCGATTTCAACACATAAAACAACTTGTAAACAATATTCCCTTCTGTTTCAATTACATGAGTTTGTACAAATGTTTTGTGAATTAGGAATATTAGGCGCAGTGCCAGAAAAAGAAACACAGAACTTATCTACAACAATCGACAAAGCCAAAGAGAAATTAAAAAAACATTAAAAATATTTTAACTAATTTGTTATTTTTTGTGGTTTCTTCCTCCCTCTTTTTAGCTAACGAACGCACACAGTAGGGGAATAAACACTACAACGCACACACAAAACAGTACGCCATGGATCCCGAAGCCTTTTTAGATATGGCCAATCAGGTCATTAAATTGAAAATGTTTCCATATTTCGATATTGCCCACAGTTTATTAGCCGCCCTAGCAGTACGTGAAGATTTGGGCTCCAATGCGCAGGCCTTTTCGCGCAAACACCCCCTGGCCTGTTGGTTGTCGACAATGTTGGTTATATTCTCCGGCGGTATGGTGGCCAATGCTTTATTGGGCGAACCCATACTGTCGCCTCTGAAGAATACCCCACAACTTTTGGTCGGAACTGCTGTTTGGTAAGTTATGGTATAGATTGACATGTTCCTGAAACATATTTAGCATTCTTCTTCTCTCTTCCGGCACACAGGTACTTGGTCTTCTATACTCCCTTCGATATTGGTTATAAAATTGGCAAATTCTTACCCATAAAAGTGGTGGCCAGTGCCATGAAGGAAATCTATCGTGCCAAGAAAGTCTATGATGGTGTCACCCATGCTGCCAAATTGTATCCCAATGCCTGGATAATCATGATTATTATTGGTACCCTAAAGGGTAATGGAGCTGGTTTCACAAAATTATTGGAACGTTTGATCCGCGGTGCCTGGACACCAACTGCCATGGAATTTATGCAGCCATCATTGTAAGTTTTGTGTTATATTTTTGCCGTAAAAAAAGGGCTACACTTTGCCAAGAATTTAGAAGTTCGAAGGGAATTTAGAACCAAAGGCTCATATTTGGATTTTAAAAATCTAACAGTACTAATAAAGTAACTTCATAGAAAACTTGCTCTCATCTACATTGTTTGAAACGTTGGGCGCCAATCAGTTGGAAAGAAAAATCAATATTATGAAAATTGTAAATTGTTGGACTTGAACGTCACAGTGGGTCCGATTTGTATTACAAAAGCGCAGAACTCAATAATTTCGATTTTTTTGCAACCGAGCCAAACTCAAACTCTTAATAAAAGTTTTCTAGTTTCTAACCCGCATTGGACGCCACTAGTCTTGTTTTTCTCTGTTCTAAGATAAATAACTAGTGTACATGCCAGGGCTCTTAACATTCTATAGCTCTATTCCCAGTTTTTCTTTCGAAGAATCTGGAGTTAGATCCATATTGGAGACATTTTCATAATAATTCCCTATTTATGCCAGTAGACAATTCGGAACAGACATCATGGACCAATGTAAGAAAACAAGTAAAAAAGCTGTAAGTTCGGCCGGGCCGAATTTTGCGAATTTGGAAATTTTCAAAAAATAAAATCAGTTAAAAATTCTGTTAAAATCTTAAAAATATCGAATATAGCCGTCTAATATATAAATGGGGTCTATAGGAAGACGTGGACCTGCATTGGCAACTTTTGTCATAAGCCAAAAAAATTGCGCCGACTGAGCTAATCAAACTCTGATTCAATTGTTCTAGGGTTATATCTTACATTGGGCGCTATTTTCGTTACTAGTTCGCATGTTACAGCCATACTTCCAAGGTTTTTGGGATAGATCTCACGTTGGGCGCCATTTGTGTTGCTAGTTCTTCAGTTCCAATGGTATTTCTTCAGATTCTACATGGCATATAATTTACTACTCCCAGTAACCTTATCGAAAGGTATTTAAGTGTTAAAGCCTGTAATAAATGGATAGATTCCGAATTGGAATCTCTTGCTTGGCATGAAATCATTTCTCCATAACTTAAAAACCACAAGTTTCTACGAATTCAAATTCAGAATTATGTCATTGCGTCGAGTCGTGGCGATTAATCAGCAAAATCCCACACTAATTTTAAATGGCGCCCAATCGGGCGCTCGAAAATATGACACTGAAATAAGGAATCTCACGATCAACCCTTTGAACTAGTCATGTTTTACTTCTATATTTATTCCCCACGTTGGGCGCCGTCAAATACTGTCCCTCCCTTTTAATATTTTCCCATTAGTCACACATTCAATGTTCAAATGGCGCCCAATCAGAGGCTCTAATATACGAGATGAAAATTAAGGAATCTCACGTTTTATCGATAGGCTGTACATGCTCCATATTGCACAGAGTTTTAGATTTGTTCCCCATATTGGGCGCCACCAAATATTATCAATCAATTTTGATATTTCTTCTCATCAAAGAATTTTATGTATAACCCCCACGTTGGGCACCATCAAATATTATCTATCCAATTAATCACACCAATTGGAGCTCGAATATATGACATTGAAACTAGGACTCTCCCACTCAACCGTTTGAATTTGTCATATTTTACATCTATATTTATTCCCCACGTTGGGCGCCATCAAATATTGCCCCTCCCTTTTGATATTTTTCCATTAGACACAAGTTCGAAAGTATGGCATGAAAATTAAATAATTTCACGTTTTATCGATAGGGCTAATCATACTCCAGATTGCACCGAGTTTTAGATTTGTTCACCATGTTGGGCGCCATCAAATATTATCAATCCCTTTTGATATTTTTACATTTTTTAGCAATGGCGTCCAATTTGGGGTCTGGTTGTATGACATTAAAAGAGCCGATTGGTCTAGTCATGCTCCATAATACACAGAGTTTAAGATTTGTTCCCCACGTTGGGCGCCATCAAATATTATAAATCGATTTTGATATTTTTTTACATTTTTTAGAAATACCACCCAATCGGGGTTTCGACAATACGGCATTGAAATAGACGATTGGGCTAGTCATGCTTCATATAAAAGTGTTTTATATATGTTCCCCACGTTGGGCGCCATCAAATATTATCTATCCAATTAATCACACCTTTTCTTTTTTTCCATTTCTTTACAGCTACACCAAAGCTTCCCTCTTGGCTTCCATTATCTTTGTCTTGGACAAGAAAACCGATTGGATTTCCGCACCACATGCTTTGGTCTATTTCGGCATTGTTATATTTTTGGTCTACTTCAAGTTGTCTTCGATTCTGTTGGGCATTCATGATCCCTTCTTGCCGTTCGAGAATTTGTGTTGTGCCATCTTCTTTGGTGGCATCTGGGATAGTTTGGCCAAGATTTTGGGACGTGGCCAGGCCAAAGAAGGCGAGGGAAAAGATGCTAAAAAGAGCAATTAAAAGACTTACTAAGATAATAAAAATAACACAAACAACATGAAAAGTAAAGAGTAACGAGAAAAAAGAAAAAAAACGATAACGACAAATTTGAAGAAATGTGGAAAAAAAGAAAACATTTTTTTTTATTTTGTAAAGCCTGCAGCCCAAATCTTTTTTTTTTTTTTTGGAAAACAAACGAAAACGAAATGCAACACACATACACACAAAGAGACCTAAGATATACATATATATACACCAGAAAAGAATATGATTTTATTATTTTTTTTTTTTTAATATTTAATTTTAATCGACATTTTTCTAGTCATCATGTTTGCATTGTCAAGTCGCCCTTGTCATCCGGGAACCTTAAACAGTGGGTGTTTTAAGTCCTGGCATAATGACGGTGACTTGATTTATTTTAGAATTTATGTTTTTTTTTTTTTTTTAAATACTGTGCCTAAATTTCATATATCCTTATATTTTCACCATTACTTGTCAAGTCGGTTTATTCAAGATGCAGACAATTTCAAACGAATCTGTTTCTTCTTTTACAATTTACGACACCAATTTTCTTCTTCTTATAATTTAAGATTTTTTTAAGTTGTAACACTTCTCTAATACTATTCTCAACAGCAGCTACATTTAAACAAAAATATTCATATCAAATATGTATTCAAATCAAAACAAAAAAAAAATTGAAAAAAACTTGTAACTAAAAATCAAAGAAAATTTTCAAATTTCTTCCCAAAATTCTGTTTAGATTCTAAGAGAATTTTTTCTTATTTTTTACAAGAAAGAACAAAGGAAATGAAAACACGAAAATAGTACAATCGCTGTATTTGTACGTAAAATGTTTTGAATCATAGAGATTTATGTTTAAGTACGAGGAAAATCAAACAATAAAAAACGCAACAACAATACCTTTTGAGATACAAAAAAAAAAAACAAAATTGTCTTTTAATGGAAAAATGGAAAACGTGGGAAAGGGAATTGCACGATTTGAAATTCAAAAATGGATAAGACTGCGTGAGACCAAGTAAGATAGCAGCAATGACAAAGAGGCTTGTCAGGAAGACCTATACGAACCAGAGAAGCGCTAGAAGCCTATGGGGCTGGTCTTGGTAGCATTCATACTAATTCTGTCGCCGATGCTATTTAACCATTACACTCTTATTATCATTCTCGGAATATAGAACCTCGTCATTTCTATTCGTGGACTCAGACAAAGCAGACCAAGTCACAACAAGTAAAAAAGCCGCAAATTTCGGCCGGGCCAAACCTTTTATACCCCCCACCATTCGGAAGGAGCTTGAAAATTTTCAAAAAAAAAAATTAAAAAAAAAACACTCAAATTAAAACCTTTATATGGAAGCTATACAAAGACGTGGTGCTGCATAAGTAATTTTTTGCCATAGACTGTAGTAACGATTCCGATCTTTAAATACGAAAATTGAAACAGTTCTGGTGAATAATGTAGCTAATATTATCAAAATACCGAATAATGGTAGGTACCGTTATATCGGGGCTATACGAAGAATTGGATATACATAGACAATTTTCTGTCACAGGCTATAGTACCTATTAGAAACTTGAAATACGAAATGTCAAACAATTCCGGTGAATAATGTCATCATCAAAATAGCGAATATGAGGTCATACGAAGACGTGGACCTGCACGGACGAACTTTAAATACCAAAATTGAAACAATTTCGGTGAATAATGTTGCTAAAATCATCAAAATACCGAATATCGGAATGTGTCGTTATATGGGGTCTGTACGAAGCCGTGGATCTGCACGGACAATTTTCTGTCATAGGCTGTAGTATCCATTACGGACTTCAAAAACCAAATTTGAAACAATTCCCTTGAATAAAGTCGCTAAAATCATAAAAAATACCGAATATAGAGAGGTGCTTTTATATGGGGGCTATACGAAGACGTGCACCTGCACTGACAATTTTCTGTCATAGGATGTAGTATCCGATTGTTCGATTTGGACCAAGAAAAATAAGAAATTACTTAAATGTTGTACGAATGGCGCCCAACGTAGGGTTAAATAAATAATCCTGAAATTTTATGTATGTCAGTTTGTTTGAATTCTTATGGCTTAAGGTGGGAAACATTAAAAGTTTTTTGACTGTCTTAAAATAACGGCTGGCTTCTTCGGAAAATAACAAAAAACTAAATAACCAAAATCGAACTAAGTCAACCTATAACTCCTTTGTTCCTCTACGAAGAAGCCAGCTGTTGCCTTAAGCCAGTCAAAAAAGCGTTTTATGTACTTTCACCCTAAGTTTAGGTTCGGAAAAGCCGTTGGGAAATAATCTTCCCAATAAAATAATCTTCTCAAATTTCGAAATATTTGGACCAAGAAAATCCTGTAATAATTTAACATTTTGTACAAATGGCGCCCAACGTTGGGCTCAAAACTTATCCTGACATGTATGTATGTAAGTTGTTTGGATTTTTATTGCTTAGCTTAGGTCCGGTACTCACGTTGGGCGCCATCCTTTGTTCCTAATCTCTTTGTGTGCGGTACCCTAGTTAAGGAAATCAGTCCATCTCCTGGAACCACTTCATATGTTATTATTCGTACCTCTCCCACAAAAGGTCGACATTTTCAAAAAAATATTTTTCTGCACATAAAAAGAAAGGATAATCCGATTTTGCTCCAACGTTGCAGTAAATAGTATTTGCATCAGGTCAGGTGCGAAACTGGACAACATCGGTCCCCTTCATCAAGTACTTCCCCTACAAAGGGTCAACATTTTGAATACCCAAGAAGCTCATATAATGCGAAAGTAACATCCGATTCCATTCAGACTTGATATATATCAATATTTCCATCAACACAAGATCTGTTTTAAAGATTGTAGAGATCGGACCATTTCTTCAGGTACCTCCCCCATATAGGGTTCAAGATTTTTGGAAAACAATACGGCCAAAGAAAGCGAAATAAGCATCCACCTCCTCAAATTTCTCACATACAAATAGTTTTGCTAACACAAGATATGTTGTAAAGATGATATACATCTGCCAGCGCCTTTTGGTACCTCACCCACAAAGGATTACAATTTTCAATACTTATATCTGTCATAAATTGCGAAACAAGTCGGCGATTCTTTACAACTTGCTATATCTAAATATTTCTTTTAACCAGAAATCTGATATTAGACGAAGTATGGAAATGGAATATTTCGGTCCGCTATATCTGGCAACTCACGCACATTTCCACATTTTCCAAAAATTTGCACATATCTCATATAAAGTATAGGAAGTAGTCGATATAGTCCAAATCTGGCATCTTGTAACATTTTTATAAGTCTTAGGACAAATACGAATCAATATTGTCCAACTGCTTCGGAACCTCCCCCATAACGGGTCAACAGTTTGAATAATCATAACTCAAGGCTTGGGTTATCCATCTGTCTTCAAATTCGAATAATACTATTTTACTTGATAAAATACATTTTTGTTTCTTTACCAAAAGGAGACATTTTAGTCTAATTATAATACAAATCTGTTCCTCCATCAGAAGACCTGACAGGCTTCAATCGGTCGAGACTCTAAAAATTATCCTGACATCCAATTTGATTTAACAAACAGTAATGTAAATGTAGTAATGCGTGATTTGAAGAAATGGCGCCCAACGTTATTATAACTCTGGAATTTTATCCACCCCCTCTTAATCAAAGGTTTCAGTTGCGCGAACCAATGGATACATGTTCTTTACGAACCGTGTGCTCGAAGTATTTGTTGAAATACAATTCAGGAAAATTCAATGTTAGCCTGAAAAATAATGCTTACTTCCGATTTGATTAAAAACTGTTGTAAAAAGAGAAAAATCTGCCACTTTGTCGTGTTGAGCTGCACTTTTACGCAAAGTGAAAAGGTTCGAGGCCCATGACGTTGTTCTCGTTACTAACCTATTCTTCTGTGTCGGCAAAACGGTTTCTAAAACACACAACAAAATAAAATCGCCTAATAAAAACAAAATTTACCAATAAATAGTAGTTGTTTTGCTTTATTATAAGATTATTCCTTCATAAAATATATGTCTATATTTTTTTCTTTTTCAAAATTATTACATTATTTAATTGTCTTTTATACCGCACATAATACAATAAAGATTTTAATTGGATAGAAGAGTTTTAAAAGGGGCCAATAACCTTTGTATACACAAGGTGGGGTTTCAAACGAAAAATTGCGAGTTTTTTGTTTTCACCTATTTTAATATTTAAACTATAACTTAGAAAGTATATTTGAATATATAATAAATTTTTAAAATTTGAAAAATTTTCTCCATTCAAAATTCTTGAAATGATTTTTTTTTCAGAAGACCCCTTTTAAATTTCGAAACATTTTCTCCATTCAATAGTTTATTTTTATTTTATTTTTTATCAATTTATTTATTTATTTTTTTTTTTTTTGTTAGAAGACTCCTTTTAAAGCTCTTCTATCTGTATTTTTATGAATAGTTAATTTGTTTTTCTTTTTTTTTTAGAGTAATAATATTTGTTATATGTTTGCAATTATTACTTAAAAGTTTGCTAATATTATTTGTCCGTTTGCTTAATTTCTTAAAACAATTCTTAAAAAAAATGAAAAATAAACAAATAATTTAAATAAGGTACACTTAAGGAAATCCGTAGTTTCCATACAAGAATTTTGTCTGTTCCCAAGAAGAGAACTTGGAAACATAGATTCCCATTTAAAAAAGAGATTTCTTTTGTATTTATAAAAAAAAGATCACATAATTAAGTAAAATGTATAGAGAATAAAGAGAGAGAGAGCTTAGAGTGGTGGTATGGTATGAAGATATACATTTTGGATTTTTTTACAACTAGATTTGAAACATTTTCAAATTCACTTTTGAGGGTAGCGCCACAGCAAATGGAAAAATTTCTGAAATAAATTTGATTTTACCCTCATGTATTGGGGGTCAGAGTACCAAAGTTTTGTGGCCCAAAAAATGAATGATGAATTCCCCCTACAGAGAACTTTTACATATTTTCAAAAAGTTAATGGTAAATCTAGTTCTACAATTGTTAGAAATGTTATAAAAACAATAATACAGATTGAAGTAATTTTGAGATAAATAAGTTAATGAGATTTACAATAGGCCAAAATAGAGAGATTCAAAACAGAGATCCAATAGGGGAAAAGTAAGAACAATAATAATAAATACATAGTAAAGGGCATGGTACAAAGAAGAGAAGGTAGGTCAACTTTGAAAAAATTGCAAGTATAGAGGTCTACCTGTTTGGCTTGTAATGTCAGAATTAGTATCAAAACAATAACAAAATCAAACAACTTGTTGCATTTATTTTGAATAAATAATTGAAAAACGCGATAATTGAATGAAAGGTCAACACTTCTTTTCAAAATCATGTACTATATGTCTCTAAAAGATTATTTCGCTACAAAAACTCTAGATTTTGTCGATACATACGTTGAAATAAACATTTTGAAAACACCCGAATTTGAATGTTTTCTGAACAATTTTTTTGTTATTGAAAAGAAAACACATACATAAACAAAAAAAGATGACATATTAAGCCAAGAAAATAAAAAAAATTAAAATCATATGGTAGTTTTGCCCTACCTTGATATCATTGTACCATGGTAAAGGGTATTAAAAAACCTAATAAAATAAAAATAATAATAATTACTATTCGATATAAACAAATTTGTATCAAATGTGGAATGTTGTTCATAATAAATTTCTAAAAAACTATTTAACTAATAAAAAAAATAATTAACTATAAAACCGACACATACACACTCCCTTGTGAGTGTTTCTGTATGTGTATCTCGTGAATGTCTTGGTTGTTTTGTTCGTTCGAAAATATAGGCTCTACTCTTTGCCCTTCCCATCTTCTGGGCGAGAAGAAAAAGTTTGTGCAATTGTATCCAGTGCAGGTAGCCGCAAAGCAGCTGCAATTTATTATGATGAGGCCGTGGATGTTGTCGTGGAAGCTGTTGCATTGGCTGCCGCATTTGGTGTTGTAATATTTGATAAGCTTATATTTAAATTGGAGCCACCATTTGTTGTACTGCTACTACTACTTCCCAAAAGATTAAGTAGTTTCTGTCTGACTTTCTTATCACTTACACATACACACTGTATGAGATTCATTAGCTGCTTCGTCGAGTATTGAGCTGGTTCTTGTTGCTTTTGTTCCAAAATCCACTCCTCAAATTGTTCATTGGCGAAATAGTATGCCTTTATGTAGATATCAACATATTGACGATGTTCGGGGAATTTTTGATTTGAAATCAATTCTAGAATGGACATGAAATTTGTAAAATCCAATTGCATTAGGGCTCGACCACCGGCGGAACATTTTTTGACATTGGAGAAACTAGAAAGGAAATAGGAATTAAATAAGGCCCCAACTTGTGCTAGGCAAACAAACTTACCCCTCAACCAACAAATGTGTGGCCACATGGGCCACCGAATTCCAAACCGGTTCCATGGGTATGTTTATGTCCTTGGCGATTTCTTCCAGACGCATGGCAAAATTTTGTATATTCTAAAAATGGGAAAAGATTTTATAGAACTACTTTAAAATCACATTGCTCACTTCATAACTTACCCTATTCATGATATCAATATAGCCATTGTGTTGAAAACTAACATGATTCACATCCCATTTCACCTTGGCCATCATTGCCAGAATAGCTGGTAAATCAAAAACTCGCGAGGTAACACATGTATATACAGGTTTGGCCAAATCATTCATAAACCGTATGTATTGAAAATATGACGTGAGCATAGGTCTCTCCGATATGGGTAGCAAATGATTGAGATAACTTTGTAAAATTTGAAATTGTTGTGTCATACAATGTCCACTTTCGGTGGCCACAATACGCTGCGACAGGCCATATAATGTATCAGGATTTGCCAGTTCATTATTGATCTGAAAAAGAAACAAGTAAAATAGTATCAGTCCGTTTTACCGACAGATGTATACCCCAGCCTTGATTTATTATTATTTAAATTGTTGACTCTTTATCGGAGAGGTTCCGAAGCAATATTGACCAATTCGTATCTGACCTAAGACTGATATAAATATTACAACGTGACAAATTTGGACCATATCGACTACTTCCTGTGCTTTATATGAGATATGGGCAAATTTTTGAAAAATGAGGAAATATGCGTGGGGTAACAGATTTCATTTTCATACTTCATTTAATATCAGATTTCTGGTTAAGAGAAGTATTTAGATATGGCAAATTGTAAAGAATAGCCGACTAAGTATTGGAAATTGTGATCCTTTGTGGGTGAGGTACCAGAAAGCGTTGTATATCATCTTCACAACAGATCTTGTGTTAGCAAAAATGTTTGTATGTGGCAAAATTGAGGAGAAGAATGGATGAATTTGGATGCATATTTCGCTTTCTTTCAGCGTTTGTCTTTCAAAATCTTAAACCCTCTGTGGTGGAGGTACGTACCCGAAAAAAATGGTGAGATCTCTACCATGTTTATAGCAGATCTTATGTTGATTGAAATATTGAGTTGTATCAAGTCTAAATGGAATTGGACGTTATTTTCGCGTTTTATGATCTTCTTGGATACTAAAAATTTGGACCCTTTGTGGGGGAGGTACCAGAAGGAGTGGACTGATATTTTCCATCTTCACACCAGACCTTGGGCAAATAAAAATGTTGTGGTCTATGTAATTTGAAGAGAGCCGGATGCTTATTTCGGATTTTATGATCGTTTTAGTTATTCAAAATTTTAACCCTTTGTGGGGGAGGTACCAGAAGGAATGGTCCGATCGCTTTCATCATTATAACAAATCTTATGTTGATGGAAATATTGAAATGTACCAAATCTGAATGGAACCGAATGTTAATTTCGTGTTTTATGACCTTCATGAATATTCAAAATTATGACCCTTTGTGGGGGAGGTACCAAAAGCAGTCGACCGATACATCCCATCTTCACACCAGACCTTGGGTTAATAAAAATATTGTGATATGTGTAATTTTAAGACGATCGGACACTTATATCACATTTTATACGAGTTATAATTATTTAAAATTTCGACCCTTTGTCTGGGAGGTACTTGATGGAGTGAAACGATATTGTTCATTTTCGCACCTGGCCTAGCACTGAGGCAAATATTGGCATATGCAAAGTTGGAACAAAATCGGACTATTCTTCCTCTTTGAGTAAATTATTTTCTTTGAAAATTTTGACATTTTGTGTGGGAGGTACCAGAAGAGGGTGGACCGATATTGCCCATCTCTGAACACGATCTAAGTTTGTCAATAATATTACGATGTAGCAAGTTTGGACCAGACAGACATACGGACGGACGGACATTGCTAGATCGACTCAAAATGTCCCTGAAACGGATTTGGTCCAGAGGACTAGGGCACGTTTTGGCCGTATCAAATGATATATACCCTCTGTAGCCATATGTCTTAGAGTATAACAGCGGAGAGAAGTGAGTAAATTCTACGTGAAGGGTGGTTATCTGGTGCTAAGCACTTCTTTAAAAAGACAAGTTGGCCTTCTGAAAGAAGACTTGCTGGGCCATTGCGAAAGATCTTTTGATCTTATAAAAAAAAAGATTTGCTGGGATACCGCGAAAGTCTTTTAAATCTTCTATTAAAAGATTTTCTAATCTTAAATAGGATAATCTTCCGGTTTAGTTGGGAAGTACTATTCTGTTGCAGTTCTCATACTTTTCAATTGTGTTGCACTGGTATTCGCAGACCACACTGTTGCCGCATAGCTAAATTGGATTGTCCACCTTTCTGTGAGTAAACCTGCTGGTCCTCTTTTAAATACATTTATGTTTCTTTACCAAAAGGAGACTTTTAGACTAAAAAAAAAAAACAAGTCTGTTCCTCCATCAGAATCCCATCTGTGCTTCAATTAGAAGATCTAGTTGACTTCCATCGGGCGAGAATCTAGAATTCTATGGAAAGGCATTTCTTCGCCGAAAAGGTCTCCTAGTTTTTTTAGAGCCTGTGGAAAATGTCGCTATTCTTCGTGAAATGCTTCTTATGATAAAATAATCTATTAGAATGTGTTCCTGATTTTCATGAGAGTGTCTAGGAAGTTCTTTCTTGGTTGATATTTTTAGGAAATCCGTGCTAGTCTTCTTTAGGAAGCCTTTGTGATTATATTAGAAGACACATTTTGTCCCCGAGAAGAAAGCCTTCAGTTGTTCTAAGAGTAAGCGTTTATTGTTCTACAAGACCAGCTAGACATACTATTTGAAGTCTAGTCTTTCGGGAGAAGGTCATCCTGTCACCGACAAGAAATCCTTCTAAATTCCTTTATTTATAATCTTGCTCCCCAAAAATATGCTAGAAATGTGTTATTCCTTCCTTGCTTACCAATGATGAAAAATTTAGAGGCCATATCTTAATGTTTGGCACAACTTTTTGACTAACCAACTCCAATTTTTGTTCCAATTTCGGGGCATACAAAGTTTCCATTTGTACGGGCTGAAAATACAAAAATACAATTAATTTTCAAATCATAAAATCATTATAACAAAATCTTACCGAATCTTTAGCAAATATTTCATGTACAGCATAGGCATAGAAATCAATCAGTTCCAGCATACTCGACACAATTTTCGGTGAAATGCAATGTAAAAGTTTACACATTTGCAAATAACGGCCAATACAACGAAAAACATTCAATGTAGTATTATTTACAATCAATTGTTGGCCATTAGCTGCGCCTGGAGAATCATCACAAAAATCTTTACTTTGTAAACTTTTGTGATCATCATCGCTTTCCTCCGCGTCCTCTTCACTGAAATAACAAGAGGCCTCATCAACAACGCCCGACAGAATATCTTCTTCTAACATGGCAACATCAAGGCCACCATCAAAGGGGGAACTTTTCTCACTGAAACGTAAGAAATAACCATAGGAACCATAAATGGAACTGCCACCGTCTTGTGAGTGTACCGAAACCAATTCATCACAATTATTGTTGCTGGTAGGAGAATTGTTAACAGACAATGTATTCGTGGTAACCATTAAGCCTGGTGGGGTTTTATGACGTCTCAAGGAATGGCGTATTGAACGGAATTCCTAGAAATACAAGTAAATATAATTATAATTATTTGTATAAATAATTTGTAATATATTTCCTTCCTTACCGGCAGCTGTAGTATGTTGGCAAAGGAATCCACCACTGTCCACGATTCGTTGTCCAAAAACAGACAAATCTCCTCTAAACAACAAACATGATAGCGTTGAAAAAACTCCTCACTTTGCAGCTGCATTGTTTCAATTAATTTCTCTGAATTTTCACCACAAAATTCCTGACCGACTTTCTTCAGCCTTTGTATAATGCTGAGAACTTGAATGAACTGATCATATTTCAAGGTACGCAATTTGGAACTTTGTAAAAATATACAAATTTTTGTTAGAATATCATTCCATATACGTGATTGTCCTTTTTTGAGTTTTTCCTGAATATAATTGTCAGGCGACTCGGGCATATCCAACGGATAGAGTTTATAGTTTTGATGCCATATAACAATTTGATAATATGATGATAAAATTGTCCAGACGGTTTTGCACAAACTTATCAAACAAGAAATGTATTTGTCCGCCTCAACCTGCTCGCACAGTTGTTCGTAGAGTAACTTGAAATTATCATCAATATTTGGATCATTATAGCCGCGCAGAACGGAGTTTACCGAGGAATGTATGGCCGATATGAAATTTATGTGGAGCTGAAAGTGGAGAGAGAGGGAGCGAATTAATAACAACATTATAAAGGTCCATGATTTTTGTTAAAAAAATACATTATAAAGGGTTTTAAAAGTATGGAAAATTGTAACCCTTTGTTGGTGAGGTACCAGAAGGGGTTCGCAGATATATATCATCTTCAAAACATATCATGTGTTAGATTTGGATGATTATTTCTCTTTCTTGCAGCGTTTTGTTTTTCAAAAATCTTAAATCCAATGTGGGAGAGGTAACAGAAGAAATGTTCCGATCTCTACCGTATTTATAACAGATCTTGTATTGATGGAAATATTGAGATGTGCCAAGTCTGGAATGGAATAGGATGTTAATTTCGCATTTTATGTGCATCATTGATATTCAAAATGTTGACCCTTTCTGGGGGAGGTACCAGAAGGAATAGTCCGATTTGTACCATCTTCATATCAGAACTTGTGTTAGTAGAGATAATGGGATGTGTGAAATATGAAGACATCCACATGTTTATTTCGGATTTTATGATTGTTTTGGTTATTCAAAACTTTGGCACTTTGTGTGGGAGGTCCCAGAATGAATGGTCCGATCTCTACCATATTTATAACAGATCTTGAGTTAATGGAAATATTGAAATTTACCAAGTCTAAATGGGGTCGAATGTTCAGTTCATGTGTTATGAGCTTCATGGATATTCAAAATTTTGACCCTTTGTGGGGGAGGCCCCAGAAGGAGTGGACCGATATATTCCATCTTCACACCAGTCCTTGGGTTAATAAAAATATTACGATGTGTGTAATTTGAAGACAATCGGACACCTGCATCACATTTTATAAGAGTTATAATTATTCAAAATTTCGACCCTTTGTAGGGGAGGAACTTGATGGAGTGGGTCGATATTGTCCATTTTCGCACCTGACCTTGCACTGATCGAAATATTGGGATTTGCAAAGTTGGAGCAAAGTCGGATTATTCTTTCTCTTTCTGTGCAGGAAATTATTTTCTTTGAAAATGTTGACATTTTGTGGAGGAGGTACCAGAAGTAGTGGGCCGATATTGCCCATCTCCGAACTTGATCTAAGTTTGACAATAATATTACGATGTACCAAGTTTGGATCAAATCGGATACTCCCTTTAAGAATTATCGGGCACACGTGCATAGCTAGATCGACTCCAAATGTCCTGAAACGGATTTGGTCCAAAGAGACCTAGGCTATTAGACCGTTATTTCGATGAGGCACGTTTTAGCCGTATATACCCACTCTAGCCATATGGCTAAGGATATAAAAAACACCCATCACAACATACCTGATCCATGGCAATCAGGGATTTATTTAGCAGCTTGTATGCCTCCTGAAGTTTTGAATATTTACGCATATCAAAGTTAAGTATCATCTGCAATATTAAAACAAAATTATTAGAAATTTGATTTGAATTCTATCATTTGAATCTGTTTGTTACCTCATTCAAAACTGTATCCAATTGAAATTCGGTCAGTAGCAGAGTCTCTTGTAGTTTTTTATTCAACGATTGAACGCAATTATATTGCATAAATTCATCGGCGGAATCTTTACAGCTAAGTAACAATGATATTGCTCCGGAATAGTTGCAGTCTGACAAAAGTTTTTGAACTTCGACATCGGTAGATTTCTGTAAAATAAAAAAAGTGGAAAATTAATGTAATATTTTGATTGGTTATTTACATATTCTTAATTGGCAAAGACCCTAGAGACCCTAACGTTAAGGCTCGATTCAAAGGGTTTCAAAAAATCAACATTTCTTCATAATCCAAAAAAACGAAAATTTCGCACGCAATTGTTGTTGATTTTGTTCTCATTCCGCATTCAAATCATGTAACCCACAACAATAAACATGTATTTTAATTGCCAGCGAATTCTAACCTAATATAATGTAATTTGCATAAATCCAATAACCTCCCGAGCAACTCAATGCTGTCATACACAACACAACTCCAACACTTACCAACTTCTTGATGGCCTGCAGTGTATTGAGCAACTCTTTAAGTATCTCGCGTTTACGATAGGAAGCCAATATTTCCAGACTAGTTGTGGTTAAATTTTGTTTGGCATAATTTAAGTACGAACGGGCCTTGCGACATGTCCATAGAGATTCCTCCAATTCCTTTTGGATTTCGTTGATGGCGGTAAATTCAACATTGCAGGCACTTCGCTGTTCCAATATGTTTTGCAATACTTGTTTGGATAATACTTTGTGTTGGGTACGCAGTTGCATCATGGTTGTTTCAATTAGGCCATAATCAACGCCATTTGCCAAGACTTTCTGAAAAAAAAGAAAACAATTAAATGCATTACAACAAAATACACACACACACATAAAAGCCAACACATAATTATTTATATGTTGTTTTATAAACAATGCATTTTCAAACGAGTTTCCAGCATTGCTAGTGCCTACAACTTTCTCCCCCCATCCATCCACCACCCACTCAACCACTTTGTTCTTTCAACACCCACCTGCAATTCATACATGTCTGCATTACTGTCTGGCTGGAAGTAAATGTCTGTTATGCTCTCCAATATTTCTTGATCGGATTTCTGGGAACTACTGGCTTCTGATGAATCGCATTCATCAGCAATTCCACCACCACCATCTTCGCCACTGGCCTTTTTCCTCGAAGAAGTTGCATCGGCGGATTTGTTTTCAGTAACATTTTGTATGAAGTAATCTGAAAAGCCCATGGCTGGTATCATTTGTCGATTTGCCTGGAGGAAATTTAAAGGGAAACCGAAGACATTATGCCGTTCCAATAAAGCACACATTAAGGACTTACCTGTTTGTGCAATAGGTCCATAAATTTTCCCTTAATCCCATCCATTTCCACAAATATAGAGAAAAATAAGAAAAATAACACCAATGCACAGACAAAGAAGCCGAACTATTTTTTCGATGGCGGCGTTGGCTTTTCAAGTATGAGGCAATCAGTGGCGGCACACTCCAATTTTGTCGGCGTTGCTAGTTGTGTGGTCCATTTTACAGCCAATGGTCATCCAAAAGGCTAGACTTCTTCTTTGTCTTTAACTATAAATATATATATATTTTTTGGAATCGGTTATTGGCTACGCCGTCAAGACGAGGTTGGTACGATACCCTAAGTATGCATGTACCATTGCTTTGTATTCGATTACTGGTTATCGATAAACGCGTAAATTCCATTTAACAGTTGTATGTTGTTTTTGCAACAAAATTGAAAAACGTCCCAACGAAACGAATATGAAGGCCACAAAGGAATACCCGATAAAAAATAAACAGAAAGCAAAGACTCCGGGTACTCTGTTGTTTACGAATGAGACATGAGAGAATTGAACATCTTCACTAAAGAGCTCGGAACTAGTTACAAATTAAATTGAATTCGACGGCGGTGCGACATGACAGACGGACGGCGTACTTAGGCAGGTCATCGGCGGCGAGTTGCTGACCGTTTTACCGACTCGAGGGGCATTGCAAGAAGGGAAAGTGTTGCGGGTGGTCCACTTAGAAAAACCTTCTGTCCTCTCTGTAAAATTGTTATTTACAAATGTCAGCTGTCATAGAACAGTTGGTGTTCGTATGGCGTATCTACACCGCCCGTACTAAATATTACTTGATCCCATGTAAGGTGTCGTCCCTGAATGACGACGGGAGAGAGTGAGTTTTACGCCATATCTCAAATTTCCCAAATAACGTCAATGATGGCGGAAGAAAGAGAAATTATATTGTATTAATACCAATATTAAATGCATTATTGGAATTATGTTGCAGTTGGAATATGCGCATATAAAAGCAAAGTCAGCACGAAGAAGCTTTCTTTTTATTTTGTGAACGGTTTCAGTGCGAGCGTAATTTTATGCGTGTTTCCAAAACAATTGTAACAGAATAAAAAAAAAATAAAACAAGCAAACTATTCATAAAGAGTTACATAAAGTTTAAAGGCATGATAGCCAGCGAACACTTCCAAATAAAAAGGATTGTGAAAAGTTCAAGAGCAATACTAAAAATTGGACTGACGTTCGTAGCTGCTTAAAGAAAACCTTAGTATCTGGACGCTGATAATTTCTTAAAGATACGCTCGGCAGCTAGCGATTGTCAGCTGCATCCTGTGGTCACCAAACACCCTGTGTATGCCAACTGTGCCAGTGCCTAAGATCAGCTGCTGAAAAGTGGACTCTATCCGAAATATATTTCAACACTGCAAAATTCATCATATGGTCGTGATTTTATGTCAGTTTTCTCGCTGAGAAAGGAAAACTAATATACCAGTGGCCCAGGAAGAGTTCAGTATAACAGCAAGGTAACAAAGTGTTATAAAACGATAAACATCTTTATACTTTGGAAACTATAGCCGGCCGTTAGGCGCAGAAAATAAACCCAAGTTTGACTTTATTAATTTTTATTTTTTTTGATACTTTTATTATATTTTTTTTGATACTTATTCGAGGAAACAATTTACGTAAATCTTAGTCTAAGTTTTTTTATTTTTTTTACATTTTTGTGTTACTATAGTATTTTTGTTGTGAGTGTTTTTTCTTTATTTTTTTATTTATTGTAAGGGACTATATATCAAGGGCAGGGGTCTTATAAACCGTTTTTTTTTGTCATGAGACGTAGATGGTCTCGGAAATATTATATACTTAATTGAGCTCGATTAGGTAGGCGTCTTAACATAGTCGGTAACCTTCTGGCGAAATTTCAAGCCAGTGAAAAATACCCAATCCCCTTAGTATAGGTCCTGATAGGGAATAAATTTAATTTTTGACAATATAAGAAAGCAAATCTAATAATAAGGTCCTTTCGACTTTGTAATTTTGATATTCAGCTTCCTAATTTTAATGTCCGAATAAAAATGTGAATCGTATTATAAGAATTAAAATGAATATTGTTTGAGAAAAAATTATTGGAAGGATTATGGTCGAGTGGGGTGGTGAATAGAGTAAGGGAGTCAATGGGGTCCACATAATGAAAAATAGGGTTTCGTGGACCATGGTAGGGTGGGCCGAGTGGGGGTTCCGAACAGCAAGGGACCTTAAAATCCTCAAGGAATGTTCTCTGTGTGTTTTGTTTTAGAGTAAATATTTGTATTCGTTCACCCATGAAATAAATGATGTTGGACCCGAAGTTCGTTTGGCGGTTGAGAACCTACCTGAGAGTCTTGAGCAGCCGGAAGGCCAAACCGATACTGTAAGAGCGGTCCTAACAGAATGGCGCCCAAATTAGAAATAAAGACCTAGATTGCCATATTGGTAATTCAAGGAAAAGTAATGTTTATTGTGTGTAATACCCAAACACAAAGCAATAGATCAGCCTAGATTCAATAGTTTCGAAATCTAGTCCTCAGCTAAAGTATCTAACTGGTATTGCAACCAGACCTATGGATTAGATAGGTTCTGATTAAATGTGCAATATTAGTATTAGAATAATATTGGCTAGATTTATAGGAAAGGGTCTAAGTGCAATCTCTAGTTGTGTTTTTGTAACTATGAATGTTGTAATCGACCTGTGATGTTTTGTACTGTTTTTTTTTTATAATTTTGAATAGATCCAAGATAAGATTTTGCTGGCTATAAGAAATCGGCATCCCAGGTGAATAATTCCCGTGAGATAAGTGTCGATGGCCACAACCCATATGATCTTTACTTTCAATAAAAAGAGGGAAGTAATGCAATGGCAGCTAGTCTTAGAAGATTTATTTGTTCATATACATGTATTATAAGTTTATAAGGACATTCTGAGGATTTTTAAACGCTCATTTTTATTGGCTTTAAGCAGTAAAATAATGTGATTTAATTCGTCTGAGGAAAAGATTGGCGATAATAACAATTAGATTTTTTTTAGCCAATGTACTCCCATTTCATCTACCTTACAAACACTACCATAAACCTTCCATAAAAATATATATATATATTAAAAATAATAAGTGAAAGAATATATAAAATTACAATTTTTGATGATAAACTTGTAATTTTATTGACTGGTAAATACCAAATAATTTAAATTAAACTCGATCAAGAATCAAAAAAAAAAAAAAAAAAAAGAGAAATTAAAGACTTTAAGTCTAAGATAAGGTAGTAAAAGTATCAAAGTGCATTTTAACAACTAGTTTTATCTATATAGAAAACGTAGTTTAGGGAATGTATACCAGGTCAAAGACAGCGAATAAAAGAAACTGGCCGTTACATTTTGATGCTAATTCCGATCAAGGTCAAATCGAACCTAAAAAGAAAAAGATGAATGAATTAGAAACTGGAAACATGGAAAATACAGGGCAATTTAGGGACTTATCTTCCACCATTATAAATCGTCCTGGTCATGGGAACATAGATAATAACCCTCAAACTGCACCAACTGGGATAGAAAATGAGGGTGACAATTTTCTTACACCGGGGACTAGAAGAGTTCAGTCTAGAGATGTGAACCTGGAAGAAAGAGTCAAAGACATTGTGAGCAATGAGGTGAAAGATTTAAGGAAAACAATAGACATTTTGGTCAAGACAGTTCAAAATATGACGTCAAATACCACTAATATAACTCCAAGGACAGTAAATTTTGATGGACATGTTGGGAATGGGAACATTCCCCAGAGTGATCTTCCGGCTGTTTCGAATGCCATGGCTAGTAGGGAGCGAATACAATCGGGAACTTCATCTTCAAGTGGGTATTACTTCCCACCTGTACCGATGAAAGACCATTTGCGCATCCGAGTCGACAAGTTTGGCATCAACTTTGATGGAAACCCGCTAAAATTAACGGTGGAAGAATTCATATTCCGCCTAGAATGTCTCAAAGAACAGTATGACATTCCATGGGACGAAATTCTACGGGATTTTAGGTTGCTTGTATCTGGACCTGCTCTTGAGTGGTTCTGGCAATTGCAGAAGATGAGGAAATTCACTCAATGGGTTCGTCTAAAGGACGCTTTATTGTCCCAGTATCGGGCTACTAAATCGCCTTTTGAGGCCATGAAAGATTTGGTAGAGAGAAAGCAAATGGCGAACGAACCTATTGATACCTACTTTCATGCGATGGGACAGCTCCGATCTCGATTACCGCTTCCGATCACTGATGAAGACATGATCAAAATTATTAAAAGTAATGTTAGGGAAAACATAAAAATGGTTATATACCCGATGAGCATTTCCACAGTGGAATTATTACGAGTGGAATGCAAAGATGCTGAAAAGAATTTTCCCAAAAGAGATACAAGACAAATGGCACCGATTCCGCGACAGATTAGGCAAGTCAATGAAGTCACATATGATGATTATGAATATGAGGAACCGAATCCTCAAATAGAGGTACCTGATACTGTCTCTGCTATTCGGATGGCACAACAGCACAACAAGGTGTATGTTTGCTGGAATTGTCAGGAATCAGGGCACACATTCGTGGATTGTCCATCCACAGCAAGGTCGTTGTTTTGCTATCGATGTGGTAAGCAAAACACGATAACTCCCAAATGTCCAAATTGTCAAAAGGGAAACTACCGGAGGGGCGTGGAAACTACGGGGGAGACACGTCCGGCAGGAAACCCCGAGAAGTGAATGAGACTCAGGACGAATCGCTGAAACAATCTGAAATAAAAGAAGGGCATACATTTACGAGAAGTGAATCGTGGGCAAAACAGAGACATTATGTTCCACTAGAAGTGAGACAAACAAATTATGAGTTAGTTAGACGGAGAATATTTGGCCAAGATGTTGGAAAGAAAAATATTCCTAAACGCATACTTAAAATAAGGCAGAAGGCCATAGAGAAAAGAAGAGTTAAAAGAGCTGTGGTTGAAACCATAACCCGTGCCGAAACGAGTTTCAAAGACCCCAGACCTTTTGCTAAAATTTATATAAAGGGGAAAGTCCTCGAAGGATTGTTAGATACCGGAGCGTCCATAAGCCTCCTGGGAAAAGGGTGTAGGGAACTACTGGAGGAACTTTCAATCGAAATGAAACCAGTTTTTACCAATATTAGGACTGCGAGTGGCAGGAGACATCGTATAATTGGTAAAATTGAAATAAATGTTGAATTCGATGGTAGCATTAACAACATGG